CCGGGTGTTTGGGGGGTTGGTGAGACCCCCCCCCCCGCTGCTGCTGCTGCTGCTGCTGCCTTCCCTTTCCCTGCACCTGGATGTGCTGTTTGCCGGGGGCTTGCTCCGCGATTTCCGTCTGTCAGTCCGTCCGTCCGTCTCCGCCAGCCATGCAGCCTCCCCGCCGAGCTCCAGGGTCGCCGCCGCCGCTGTGATCCAAAGATTACGGGGGTGCTGCTGAGAGCCCCGGCGTGATGTGACTGCGATGGTGCTGGGGATTATTTGAAGGCGGCGAGAGAGGCAGAGCTGATCCACTTGTGTGTGCGCGCGCGTGTGTGTGTGTGTGTGTGTGTGTGTGTGGTCTAAAGTGGGGTTTCCTTTTTTTTTTCCCCCTTTTCTTTTCTTCTACTCCATCCTCTGCCCACCACTGGAAGTCCTCCCGTATCTAAATGGAATTAGTGGAGATCGAAGCCCCTTGTGTAAGGAACAGACATGGTCCATGGGCGCAGTTTGTTTCACAGTAAGTATCTTCTTCCCCGCCCCCCGGGGCTGCTCTGCTCTTCTGGGCAACTCTTTTTCTCCCTTTCTCCAAGCCCAGTGGTGCCAGTGCAAGCAGGAGGCTGGGACAGGCGGGCACAGGGGGGGGGGGGGAAACTTTCTCTTCCTCCCAATGTAGTGCTGGTGGCAGGAGAGGGAAGGCAGGATGGGAGTGGACGGATCCTGGACTTCACAAGGGCTCAGGCAGCTGCTTTTTCTTTGCAGTTGTTGGTTCTTGGGGCCGTGAAGCTTGAGCCTTCGTGCATATGCAAGGGTGAGGTGCCAGCTTGCCAGATCAAGGGCAGGAGACGAAACTGTCCTGCCTTTTTTTTTTTGCAACGGTGAGCTGCAGGACTGGAAAGAGCCCTATGGATCTCTATTGACTCTTGATCCAGCTCTGCCGGCACTTGGCTTGCAACCCAGGGGTCCCCAGCCTTGGAGCTGAATGGTGCTCCCCGGTGACATAACTCCATTGCTGCCAGTGACATCGCTCCAGGCTGTGGCTGGGACCCACGTTGATCATGACACTGAAACCCACGGTGATCATGACAGTGAGACACGACGGGGCTGGAGCAGCTCCGAGGTGACTCCCTCCCCCCTTATCAGCCTCCTCACTGCGGGTTCTATAGCCCCAGGGACTGATCCGTGCAGGGTGCTGGGAAATAGGAGCTGTTCAGTTGCAGAAATCGGTGGGAAGGAAGCCAAAGCCTAGTCGATGATTTGTTCTTAGGGGTGAATTTCTTTGGACGCAGTGGCCTCTGCCATCCAAAGTAGTGCCTGTAGGAGCTGGATGGTGCGCCTGCCGATTCACATCAGTATGCCTCCAAAACCTGGAGCTGTCCAAACAAGACTAGTGTTGGAGCCTTTAGGAGTGGTAGTCACCAATCCTGCCTTGGAATAGTCCCTATTCCAGGGAAGAAGCAGGCAAAGATAGGAGCCAAAGGTGATAATAGATGATACGGTTTGGACTAGATGATAAATTTGGACTAGGTAATATTTGGACTACGTGATAATATGAAAAAGGGCTTATTCTACTGCATGACTAATGGCCTGGAAAATGTTATTCCCAGCCCTGCAACCACAAATAGATTGAGTGGGGGTGAGGACCTTGCTGGGTTAAACTGAAGCTATACTCTGGAGCAGCCTCTTGCAGTAGTTTTGTCTATTTTGATCGACTTCTGGCCCTGTGAAATGGCAGCCTTTTTAGAGAGGCTGTCCCCCGCCCCTTCCCCCCCAACTCTTAATTGTGGTAGACCTTGTATGACCATTTGTGTTAGGAGCAAGTTTTATGGCCTGCTGATAAAGCTCTTTATATGTGGCTTTGTAATGGAAATGTGTACAAATGCATCATAAGAATAATGCTAGCAATAAGTGCAATTAGGATGAAAAGAGAAGGGGAGCAGCATGTATTTGTGTACATGATAGGACAGACCCACAGAAAATAGGTGGAATGATGATTTCAGTCCTTCCCCTCTCCCCCTCAACCTGTGTTATTGCCAGCATTGCTGCCCATGCTTTATAACAGTTCCTGAGTATCTGAATAGCAGTTTTGCCTGAATGAAGACTGCAGGCTGTCCTTTTGGCTTTTGGGGTTTTGTTTGTTTGTTTGTTTGTTTTTGGAGGCCTTTTCGGTAAGGGACACATTGCACTGTTTCTGGGCTAGGGAGAAGGAAAGCTGTGGGAGGAGAAAGGTAGATTTTATATTTGGCTTAACATGACTACTATTCAGTTTGTAACCCAGTGAACAGGACCCATTAGGAGATAAATATATTAATCGTGAGAACTCTCTCCACTGGGTAACCTTCAGCTGCTTGCGTGAAATATATTACTAAGCCTTACACTCTAAGTCTTCAGGGGTTGGGTCCTAAATCTTTAAGTGCTGAAGAAAATGATGATTTTTTTTATGGCAAAACAAGCCTTTTTGTAATTCTGATTTTAATGCCACTAATACAAATCACCATTTCTGTTGGGCAGGTGCAGAAGTATTTAACTGATTGAGCCAAAGGTCTTGGATATAGTTTATGAGAATTAAGTGTGAAGTGGCTTAGCCTGTTGTTGTTTTTTACTCTGTTGATAATCAGTACTGACATGTCAATTTGTAAGCACATTTCACTACTTCAGAACAACTTTATTGATGGAATTGGAAGTATTGCTTCTAGTGATAACAGCTGGAAGCTGGGACTCAATTGATCCCTTGTCTTTCCTCCTATACCGGGCTATTATTATGACCTGGAAGAATTCACTCCTTCTCTGTGACTCATGTCTTCCACCTGTAAAATGGGGGTATTAATATTAAAAATTCCATTGAAGTCTTCAGACACAAGTTGCTTCAAAGGATAATGTTCTAGGTTTTAATTAATTATTAAGAGATGTTGCCCTTTTTATCCATTGAGTTACTTATGTGAATGCATCAGATTGCAATGGCTAGGAGTTTATAAGGAAGTTTCTACAGCTAGCTTCATAGTGTACAACATAACATCTTATACCATTTGGAAATTAGTTGGCAGTTAATGAAGAACATAGGTGAAAATGTATGAAACACAGCTTAGTAAATGAGCAGCTGTGTCTTGCTGTTCCAGATGTGCCCATTATGACTGGCAGGTGGAATCTTATCCATCCTTGAGGAGAACTGAGGTATAAACAATTGGGCAAATCCAAATCTGAGGAAAAACCTCACTCAGAAGCTCTGTGAGGCATTCAGAGGTAGTGGATAGGTCAGAAGACATAAAAATAAAGATCTGGATGTCCTCAGGGCAGTGTGAGATGCAGGGCTTCCTTATCAATCCTCCTATTGATTTCATTTCCACATAGAATAAGAAGATGTGGAAGACCCTATATGAAAGGATCCTTTAGGTAGATGGCCCATTGCTATTAGTATCCTTTGGAATCTTCTTGGGGCAGAGAAAAGATGCAAGTAATTCAGCGACAACTCCACTATGTTTATACTGCTGTTTAAACTGTTTATACTATGTTTATACTGCTGTTTTGTTTGTGTTTTTGGGTTGTTCTCCCGCCCTGGCGGGGGGTCGGGCTAGAAGATCTATTAGGTCCCTTCCGACCCTGAAACTATGAAACTATGAAACTATGAAGTAATCAAGTTTTCCTCATGATCAACAGCACAAATGACAGTTGCTAAAATAATCAGGGTGGATACATGCTATTTATCTATTAACAGGAGAACATCAGTCCCTGCAGTCAGCGAAGTATTTGCAGTAATCCCAGGCTATAGTGGAAAAAAAAACAAAAAATGAAGTCCTGTTAGAATGGTTTCATTGCTGACTTGTAAACCTAGGCTCCTCTCAAACTGATCCAAGATAGGGTCAAGCAGACAGAATGACAACTTCAAGAGATGATTTTATTTGATCTAGGATCTAACAGTCACCTTTTAAAGAATCTATCACTTTTGTCTCCTAAAGAGTGACACTATCACTGATAATAGCCTCAGTATCCTTCCTTGCCTACTCCAGTCTATTGGTTCCTGTATATACTTTATGGGCACAACCTATAACTCCCAGAATCTCAGGAAGCATCACTATCTTGGAGTCAAGTAATGGAATAGTGGTTTGCTCCCACCAGGCAAAGATCAGCTACCTTGATTGCAGAGAGTTTGTTTGCTTGGTTCAGATTCAAATAATTTTCAGCTGCAGAAAAAGCTCCAGATTCCTTATAGCAAAAAGGCACTTGATTCTGGAAGATTCAAATACCCCAGAACAGTTAGTTTGTTTTAACATATGGGATGCTTCCTTTGCCCGTCACTTTGCAGTTTGCAGTTGCATTGGTGGATATGAAGAGCCTTTTCTTCATCTTCTGCAGAGCCAAAGCTTATTTTTTCCAAAAGTATTACTGTTCACAGAAGAGGAGACGTGTAATGAGACTTGTGCCACTAGCAGTTAGCAGTCTTTCTCACTTCATCAGTAACAGTCACCTGTCTGTCATTGATCCAGACAACCATGGCACATAAATAAATATTAGCAGTCAAGTGATTTATTTTAACTTCTAAAAGAAAAAAGAACAAGGAGGCAAGGAATACCTGTAGTTCTCTAAATCCAGAGGTATTTTGTCTCTATTCTGTTCAACATATCTAGGTACATTTCTTACACTCATAAAACACAACTAGACTTTTGTAAAATAATATTGTAAAGTAGCCACGAAACAAACCACTTTTGTACTTTGATTCTTTTAAAATTATATTCTCTCTCTTGAGTTTTTTACAGTTTCTTTGATTGCAGGCACTAACATACAGATGTACCTAATACATTTTTCTCTTTCAGTTGTAGCAAGTCTAATCATCCTACATTTGTCTGGGGCGACAAAAAAAGGAACAGGTATGTCATTTTGGGGCTATTTTTAAATTTTATATTGATATATTTCAGAATATAATGCAGGGCACATTTTATATACATATACACACACACACAAATGTATGCATGTGCTTGTATGTGTATACAGATATATGCTATGTATATATACATGTATCTGCTTGTGTGTGTGTGTATACACACGCAAACACACATACATATATGCACTCACATTCACATCTATGATAGATGTGAATGTGTGTGCATATATATATGTATGTGTGCATATATGTATGTGTGTTTGTCTGTGTATATACATGATAGATAGATAGATAGATAGATATTTGTATTTGTTTGGAAGTGAATTGATAACAACTCTAAAATATTTATGTTAAATACTGGCAGGTGGGACTAGGTGACCTAGTACCTGACCCTGCAATGGGAAGCTATTCGGAGGAAGAAATAAAGTTATTCAGAATAAAGAAGCAAGGAACAAGCCCATCTCTGTTTTTATTAAAGTCAATGGCAAAACTTCTGCAGGCTACAATGAATACAGGGTTAGGCACTTCATAGGAGTTTTCTAAAGCAGTTCTAAGTATAATTATGACAGAAGAAATAGTTTGTGTATAATTTTCTAATGCTTGATATGATCTTTTCATAGAAAAGCAGGCCACTTTAGAAGGGCAGAAAACAGTGCAGTGTGGAACTTGGACAAAATATGCAGAAGGAGGCATCTTCACTTCTCCCAATTACCCCAACAAATATCCTCCTGACAGAGAGTGCATCTACATTATAGAAGGTAACTAAAAAAGAATCCTATTATTTGAGGGGGGGTTTAATAATGTATTTTTATTTTACACATATATATATATAGTCTGATATATTCCTCTCGCTTCCTCCTTTATCTCTTTAATGATACTTCCAAATTTTTGAAAGTTTGGTAAAATGGGAGTCAAAACTTACAAACCTAGCTTTTTCATGGTACAGAAAGGTAGTTGTATGGTGCATGAGAGGAGAGTCTTCTTTCAACTTAGTCCTAGACTACACTACAAAGTTTTACCGGAAGCCCTTTTAAGTGCATCAACCCTTGCCTTCTGTGACAACAGAATCTTTCCTTTTGCTACAGAGTTACTTCATCTTCTGTAGCTGGTGTTTTCCCAGTGTGTACTATATGCCAGTGGAGCACAGCTGCCAAACAGACCTCATGGGAGTGTGTGCATTCTGATGGCTTCATGGTCCAAGCTGCCGTCTACTTCCAGAGGTTTTGCCATCAGAGGAACGTAGACGTATAGGTATAGCCTTAATCCTAAGGAAGACACAGGAGTTGGGAAGTAACTACAGATGAACCACTAAATAAGGCTGTGCTTCACTTGTTATGCCTAGTTTCCTATAATCAGAGCCCTGAGGAAGAATGTCTTACATTCAAAAGCTTGTTTAACTTCATCCCAACTACATAGTCAGTCCATTAAAAGATACCACCCTAAGAAATCCTTGCCTGTTGCATAAGTAATACAATTAATTTAAGGGTACTGGGGAAATTGATATTACCTAAAATGGGTACTGTTGAGATAAATTTCAGAGATGAGATTTTGAAAAATGAGGAAGTAAAAGACCTTAAAATGAAAAAGTTGAAATTTCAGTGTTTTAATTCATCACTGAGGCTACTTAAACATACCAATAATTGAGTCACGGGAAGCTATGCTCAAGACAAAAAAAGAAGCGGGGAGAAAAGAGGGAAAAAATGAATATGCTCTTTAATCATATTGTTTAACATAAAGAAATGCTATGAAACAAACCTAATCTAAAGGAGTTAGTCTCTTATATTGCTCTAATTGTTCCGGTCCCATGTTTCTGGTGTCCCAGTGATCAGCACGTAAATGGTTACATCATACCCCTTCTGTCACAAGGCATTTGCTGGTGGTTTGTACTTGACCTGTACTACTCTGATCATCATCCTAGGAATATCTAGGTAGATAGGGATATTAACTAAGAATGAGGTAAAACTGATCTAAATTATTGAAAGTATTCAGTGGGTCTATCTACACATGCAATTAATGTGATGTGATAAACTCTAGCAAAGTTTGTATCAGACAAAAATTGCTTCTGGGCTCAGTGTCTGCATGCGTTCCCAGGACTGCAGCACTTTGAACTGTGGTGGAGAAGCCCTGGGCTGGCAGGGGTCAGCCCCAAGCTCCGGGTGGCCGTATTGGACAGTGAAGGGGCTGGCTGTGGCATGAGGGTACTAAAGTGTGGTGTTAGGTGGCAGGTAACTCCTGTACTTTAGCATCCTCATGCCCCGGCCAGCCCCTGTCAGGTCTATGTGTGTGTTTTGGTGGAGTAAATTACTCTGCCATAGGATAGTACTGTTAGAGACAGTACTATGCTATGGCAGAGTAATTTACTTCACCAAACTCCACCAAACTGTCCCTAACAGTACTATTCTTCAGTGGAGTTAATTAACTTACTGCACCCTAGTACTGGCACACATGTAATACTTTACTTCAGAGCTAATTAGTCAACTCTGTAGTAAAGTGCATGTGTAAATGCACGCAGTGACAAAAGTTGAAAATAAACGTGTAGTTGGATTTTCAAAAGTACTGGGGCTCTCCTTGATTTCACTGGGAAATAGGTGCTTAAATACTTTTGCATTTAGTCGTTCTACCTCATTAAATCATACTTAAAATCCCATCAGGTATCTTTTCAATGTTTAGGCACATAACTATCTTTGAAAATCTGGCTTTGACTTGTTAATAGATGTATGCTTTTTCATAAGACCTGCCACAAGACTGAAGAGTAGTACATCTTTTATCTATTGTTTTTTAAACATAGGGGTTAAGAAATTACAGACCACTGAGCTTTACTTCAGTACCAGATAAACCAATTAAAACTATAACTATAGAGAGTATTATAAAATACTAAAATGAAACAGAAACAGAAACAAACAAATATGGCTTCTGTAAAGAAAAATTTTGTTTAAAAACCGATTAAATAATAATAATAAGGAGAATTAAATGGTTAATTTTCAGTATGCAGAAGGTTATCATATTTCTTTCTACTTCTGTGCTTTTCTCACTAGTATCTGAATTTCTTGCATACAGAACTGAGTTTATGAGCACCTCCATGAGGTTGGGAAGAATCATGTGTATTTCACAGATAATTGAGGCATAAAGACCTCTCTCAAGATTACAGTGGGAAGTTTGAAAGATCTCTTTAATCTGGTTCACTGGCAATTCTTCTTTTAACATGAGGATCATAAAGGATTCGTTGTACAGCTAGAGTTTGAATATATGTATTAATTATCTGGGATGGAGAGGTTTACAGCAACAAGGTAGCAAAATGCGAGGTTCACAGAAAATTTAGAATAACCAACCCTAGAGAAGTCAGAGGGGAATCTGAGAAAGATGTAAAAAAGATAGGCAAATGGGTTGCAAGATGGAGGTGAAATTCTTTGTTGACAAATGCAAAGTGTTTGGAATAATTTGAGAAGCTTGTATGTGTTGTTAGCATGTTGACAATGAGCTGTGGATGCTGGCAAAATTGATCAAAGCAAACAAAAGCAGAATAACTCTGGTGTCACTGTCTGCAGCACACTGAAGTTCTGTGGTCATTGTGCAACTACTTTCCTGTGATTTTGTTTGTTTTTTGACAGATAAAATAATGAGATGGAAAACCGTAATGAAACCTTGTGATGGCTTCTGTAACATGGTGGGAGATTTTCCCTTGAACATTGTGTTGAGATCTGGTATCTCTCTGCCCCTCTCAAAACAAACAAACAAATGAACGAAAAGGCAAGAATAATTGGGTCCAAGTCAAAAGGATTAGGTGGTAAAGTTTCAGAATATGAGATCCTGAAAAGAATGGCACCATTTAGAGAGGAGATAAAAGGAAACATGATAAATGTACCTCTAAGGGAGGTGCTGAGAAAGTATATTTGGTGTTATCTTTTTAACAAGACCTAAGAGTAGCAGTCAATTAAACTGAAGGATAATTGATTTAAAATTAATAAAAGAAATGCTTTTTTTTAAGAGATATTATATTATTCTGTGAAACAGTCTCACAAGACATTGAAGTTAAAGGGTTTCAGAAAAAGGAATTAGATATTGATATGCATAAGAATATTTTAAGCTAACATAGGATCATTTCTAAAGCATATAGGTGCCTGCACTTCTGGGAGTCAGCACCCATTAACCTTTAGATGGGATTTTTTAGCTAATTCCTATGTTCCAGTTATTATCTATTATGAGGGTCCTAGTACTTGTCTCTGAAGCTTCTCGCACTGAGTGACACTGAATATAGGAGCAGACCACAGGTCTGATTTAGCCTGAGAATTCTGTGTTACTGTCTGTAGTTATTAAAGATTTCCAAATCATAGGTAGTCCTGCTGTCGATTTGGATAACCAAATTTTCCAGGTTTCTTGCTTGCTTACCTGCCTGCTTTCTTCTTTCTTTAAAACTTACCAAATGTAATAATAGAAAAAAAAAAATGGCCTCTCTCAGGCAAAACTTTCACTGACTTTAACGGGACTAAATTAGGACTTCAACGTTTGGCTTCTTGTGCTGAAATGGCAAGAAAACAGTTCTAAATGCAATAGGTCATCTTAAATGTATGCAAATCTTTTAGCATTTTCAAATTATTCAGTTATTAGCATTTTTAGTTATTATGAGAGCATTCTTATAATAATTCCAATGCTCATCAATAAGCAAAAAGGGAAGACAAATTTTAGCAAAGGTCTCTTTTAAAATACTAGTCAAAGGCATGAAAACATCCAACTGCTGAAAGTCCTACCCAGAAATATTCAGAACAGAAATGAGGTGTGTTTTTCCCCCTATAATGTGAATAATTAACCATTGAACCAACTAGGGATGCAGTGGTTTCTCCACAACTACAAATCTTAATACAATATGAAAATAGTCTGTCTTTCTGAAAAATGTCCTCTGTACCAATCAAAAGTTATAGGATCAATGTAAGAATTACTTGGGGTGTCTGTAGATATGCCAGAGGCTGCTCTGATGTGCTGTAATTACAGCGTGTTGGAGCAGACTCAATTAATCTGCTGGAGGACATTAATTTGTGCACTCCAGCAGCCTCCGCATCTCATGTATTACAATGGCAGTGGGGGTGCTTCAAATGAAGCTCACTGAATAGGCTTTAGTTAAAGCACTCCCACCACCATTTTGAGGCATGGAGACCGGGGTGTGTGAAACGGCCCATATTCGATTCGGATTTGGATTCGGCCCAAATTGGGGACAGTGATTCAATTAGTTGATTTGGATCACCATCTCTGATTCAATTCAGCTGAATCTGAAGATTTGATGCTGATTTGGAGAATAGGCCATTCGGTCATAGACACAGCTTTAAATGGTTTTTCTACATGTTTTGAGGTACCAGGTATGGCTTGTGAACACTGTGATGCTTGGGTGGATGGAGCATCCCACAGAAACGTGGGGGGTACCCCCCGTGTGCTCAGCAGTGAACCTGGAAGTGGACCAGAAATACTTCTGGCCCACTTCTGGGTTCACCACCGAGTGCATCCCCCCCACCTCCCTGTACTCCTCCAGCTTGGCGATCAGCTGCAGGGGGACAATGGGTGACCCCCCCCCAGACCCAGGAGGCACCAGTCACTGAGCCTGGGGGGTATGGGGGGCTCCCAGTGTGCTCCTTGCTGGACCCATAAGTGGACTGGAAGTGGGTCCACTTCTGCGTCTGCTGCCAAGCATCCTGGAGACCCCCCTCCCCCACTCCTGTGGGATGCTCCATCTGCCCCACCATCGCAGCATTCACGAGCCACTTAGTACCTT